GACATCTCAAGGTCACAGATTAGTGAATGGCAAAGTTGAGACCACAAGCTAAATCTCTCAATTTTAAGACCCATGTTTTTCAAAATATGTAATCAAATTGTCTTCTCTTCAGCAGTATATAATTAAATTTTATTTAATTTATAAGCACCTACTATTTTCCCACACCAAGTTAGTTCCTACAACCTCATATGTATACCCTCTAAAACAGAAATGTCAACTGGTTGATGAGATTTAATGAAATGATCCAGATTTACCTTCTATTTTATTTCAGAAATCATTCCCCTAAGAGTTATATTTTTGTATTTTACAAAAAAAAACTATATACATATACACACAGTCATACATTGCTTAACAATGAGGATATGTTCTGAGAAATGCATCATTAGGTGAATTTGTCATTGTGTGAACATCATGGAGTGTACTTACACAAACCTAAATGGTATAGCCTACCACACATCTAGGCTGTATGGTGCTGATCTTATGGGACCACAGTCATGTATGCAGTCTGTTGTTGACCAAAATGTGATTATGTAGTACATGACTGTATACGTATACGTATTTACACAGTATTTTTAATTTTTTCTAGGACACGTGATTTGATAGTGGGAAAGCTTATCCCATGTATCAAGCAGAATGAATCATAACCACATATCATAATCACGTACCCTAGAGGTGAAATGCCTGGTTCCCTCTGTGCACTTGCCTCTTTGCAGAGGCATGCCACGGAAATGGTTATTAGTAGAAGCTGTTTTGTCCATTCCTGACTAATTTGAGGGAAATGGGAGCAATTTGCTTCCTATTATATCATGATACATGGAAATTGGTGCTGTCTATGTCTGCATGTTCAGATGACTCAACAGTTTGACTTTGCCAAATTAACTCATTAGTACGTTGTTTTACCGATTTTTCAGAGTGCTGGCTATACATCAGGCACCCAACCTATGTTCCCCATTTATGCTGGGATTTTCCTTTTATAGGCCCAAATGGAAGTACAGGAAATCGATGATGGACTGGGCTTGCATTGATGAATTAACCTCTCTATGGAACTAACCTATTTGAAAGGGAAGCACTGATCCAAAATACGGTAACCAAAAAAGAATAGAAAATTCATACTCTATATGGACAAATGTTAAAGTACCAGGAGACCAGCCAGTAGGTAGGACATCAACAGATTTCAGGTAGTGGCAACAAGCAAATCATTCAAGGTCACCCTATCCAAGGCAGAGCTCAGAAGAGCTTGCCTATTAGAGATATCAGTACCTGAAGCTGAGTATGAGTGGGGAAATTAGCAATTAGCAACGTGCATGTCAAATTAAACAAACAAATAAAAAAATCTACTGGAGTAGAAATGATGGGAACTCCTGGATATATGTATCTTTACCAGTTGTATGCTATTTCTTTTTCTTTTTCTGTATTAACTTACACTTATATGTGGGAGTTTCAGTTGGCTATTCCCACCGCTAGACTCTTCTGCTGTCTTGCTTCCTTTCCCCCAAGGATCTATACAGCATGTCACCTGTCACAAGCTTAGGACTGAGCAGAGAGGAGTATTTGCAACTGATTTCTATTCTCCACTCTCCTCCAGTTACTGATAGCTGAGCTGGGCCAAATGAGTGGATTTGAGACTATGCTGCCAAATCAAATACACTGCAGAATTCAGTTTCTGCCCCTCAAATCCCTATGGTTCATTCGTCTGTAGCTCTCTTTTCTTTTTTTAAGTAAATCACCCTAGGCACTTATAGGCAGGCCATGATGTCATACTCTAACAGCTTGGTTATGTGGGTAATTACAATCACATGAGAGAAGCTGCCCATATAGAATATGACAACAGTAACCCAATAAGGATAGGGCATTGGTAATTTGAGTTACCACTTTAAAAAGAATCTGATTTTTTTTACATGTTTCCCTTCTCTGCTTAAAACTTCAAAAATCTGGTGAGCAATGTTGGGAGAGTTAGGACAGTCACACAACATTCAAACTGCAGGCTTTGATAATCTCTGATGTCTAGGGGAAAAAAAAGAAAAGAAAAGTGTCTCATCAGCCATCTCTGGTTTATGGAGTTGTCTTGTGCTCCTCTGAGAAGGCAAAATATATTGATTCCATCAAGGAAATAGAAACATTCATCTACAAAAAAATATAGATAAGAGGGTTTAATACCTTCAATGAAATCGTGTTCCCTGTATGAAACATCTGCTGATTTCCTTTTAATGCTAGAAAGCAAATATTATTCTCACATGGTATCCTCATTTGGTGATTCAAGCAAAGTTCCCCAGGAAGGGCCTGAGATTGATTGATTGATAGATATTTACTTACTTATATTCAAGAAACTTAAGAAACATCTTTCCTTAAATGTGAAGAAGTTAAAAAGTTCTCTAAAATTTCTATTTTCTTTTTTTTTAAATAGCAAAGAATTTCTGTTTAGCAAGTTGATTAGCATTGAGAATCCATTTCCTCTGTATTGTTTTGTTTTGTTTGTGATTCCAGGCCTGGCTCTTTCCCCTGTTCCTCATCTATCATCCTGTCCAGATCAATACATGGCCTCTGTCCCTGGATGGCACAGCTTTCTGTGTGTAGGCTTTGGGATAAAATATCAAGAGATTGAGACTTTCAGTGGATCTTTCAAAACTCAGCTTTCTTTTATGTCCAGAGGTCTGCATTCATTTGATTCTATAGAGGTGGTGGGATTTTCCCCTTGTTTCAATCTTGGCTCTTTGTTTCTGGTTTGACATAAAAGAGGTTTTCTTAAGTGGCTATAAAACTAACGCATATAATTAACGCAAAACATTCTAAGGGGCACAGGAAGTTTTGAAGGTGACCTTTGGTACTAATTGTCTTGGCCAACTCCTCAGGAATCAATTTAATCATAGAAGAGATGTTTACAAGAAGATCTGCAATATACATACGTGTGTGCATGTTTTATAGGTTGTTTTCTTGGATAAGCATTAAAAACATAATGAAAAAGAGGCCAAGCCTAATGTGGGTGTTCCTGTTATTTTATATTTACATTGGATCCTTGTAAAATTCTTTCTGAAGAGTGAATAAGATTCCTAGACAGAGAAGATTCTGAACTCTGCACATTATTGAAACACCAGATGAGATATATTGAAAAGTATTTGCTTTGGTATTTTATGTAAGTGGACTAGGGTCATAGAACTGGGGGGGGGGGGACACAAAACAAGAACAACAAAATCTAACTTTAAATGAAACAATTTTAAATGAAACAATAAAAGAACATTTCAAGGATAAAAAATTGCTGGATAAATTTTCAGAATGTAACAGTAGTAAGTTAATATGCTGTACAATACTGTGATTGAGATCTGGAACAAATAGAAGAATTAAAAGACCAGAGCTAGAATAAAAGATGGAAGATGAGCTAGAAGGATAACATAATCTAATCAATAAGGTGCTCCGTCGGGTAAGAAGAAAAGAAGCTCTTGAACAATTTCTTCGAATTTACTAACATATTTAGGGTCCTCTAGTATGAGGAGATAAATGGTATTACTGGGGACAGGTGAAAAATATGCAGGTAAAATGATTTAATACGTCAACACAACACTGAACAGCTATCTGGAAATCTCCACGGGGTTAAGAAAAGGTTTAACTCTTCATTTGACTGTTTAGGTATTAAATAAGTAGAACCTGAGAATATACAGTCAGTTCTGCTATAACATTTGTTTTGAAAATGCAAATTAGTTCCGCAGCACTTGATATGCTAAGAAACTCTTTGAGCATAACATGCATTTGCTTGAGCATAATGCCGTTTGAGCAAGACTCGTGTTTTCGTGTATGTGATTTCGTCCTCAAGAAACACTAGGTAAATAAAAACAACTCAACTCAACTCAACTCAACAACTCACCTAACTCAACGTGGTACACAGGGATACACAAAACACACGTGCTCCATCCTCAGACATCTACCAGCCATCTCTGTCCATCACATGTATTATGAGCTCATCTGCCTCGACCTGGTGTTGCAACTTTCCATCAGATTTCAGAAGATCCTCCTTCCACCATCTCACAATAACTCACAAGCTGCAAACCTTTCTTCCGATGCCCACTTCTACAAGTAAACCTCAGGCTTTTCCCAAGGCACAGTGCCATGTTTTTTATCGTATTTATGCATTCCTTAACATTGACCATGTGTAAAACCGTGCCACCCTTGATCAGGTTCTCTTTTTCTTTTTCTTGGTGAGGAAGATTAGCCCTGAGCTGACATCCGTTGCCAATCCTCCTCTTTTTGCTGAGGAAGATTGGCCCTGGGCTAACATCTGTGCCCATCTTCCTCTACTTTATATGTGGGATGCCTGCCACAACATGGCTTGATAAGCAGTGTGTAGGGCCATGCCCGGGATCAGAACCTGCGAACCTCGGGCCACCGGAAGTGGAGCACACGACCTTAACCACTACGCCATCGGGCTGGCCCCAGGTTCTCTTTTTTTTAACATATTGCTGACAAATTTTTTTTATATATATTTTAGGTGTACAACATTATAATTTGACATCTGTATACACTTCAAAGTGATCACTACCAAAAGTCTAGTTAAACATCCATCACCATACAATTGACCCCTTTCACCCATTTCGTCCACATCCCAACCTCCTTCCCCTCTGGTAACCACCAATCTGTTCTCTGTATCTATGAGTTTGTTTTTGTTTTTGTTTTGTTTGTTCATTTGTTTTGTTTTTTTAGATTTCACATATGAGTGAAATTATATGCTATTTGTTTTTCTACATCTGACTTATTTTACTTAGCTTGATACCCTCAAGGTCCATCCATGTTGTAGCAAATGGAAAGAGGTCATTCTTTTTTTATGGCTAATATTCCATTGTATATGTGTGTGTGTGTATACATATATATGTGTGTGTATACATATATATGTACCTCTTCCATATATATATATATACCTCTTCCATATATATATATATATATGTGTGTGTGTGTGTGTGTGTGTGTATACACACATACACGTGTTCTTTATCCATTCATCAATTGGTGGACACTTAGGTTTTTTCCATATCTTGGCTATTGTAAATAATGCTGCAATGAAATAGGGGTGCATATAACTTTTCGAATTAGTGCTTTTGTATTCTTTGGATAGGAATACAAATGCAGAATAGCTGGATCATATGTAGTTCTAGTCTTAATTTTTTGAGGAATGTTCATACTGTTTTCCATAGTGGCTGCACCAATTTACATTCCCATCAACAGTGTATGAGGTTTCCCTTTTCTTCACATCCTCTCCAACACTTGTTTCTTATCTTTTTGATAATAGCCATTCTAACAAGTGTGAGGTGATTTCTTATTGTGGTTTTGATTTTCACTTCCCTAATAATTGGTGATGTTGAACATTTTTTCATATGCCTGTTGACCATCTATGTATCTTCCATGGAAAAATGTCTGTTCATATCCTCTGCCCATTTTTTAATTGGGTTGTTTGTTTTTTTGTCATTGAGTTGTATGAGTTCTTTATATATTTTAGATGTTAACGCCTTATTGGATATATGATTTGCAAATATCTTCTCCTATTCAGTAGGTTGCCTTTTCATTTTGATGTTGGTTTCCTTCGCCGTGCAGAGGCTTTTTAGTTTGATGTAGTCCCATTTGTTTACTTTTGCTTTGTTTCCCTTGCCTTTGGAGTCAGATCCACAAAGATATCACTAAGATCAATGTCAAGGAGCTTACTGCCTATATTTTCTTCTAGGAATTTTATGGTTTCAGATCTTACATTCAAGTGTTAAATCCATTTTGAGTTAATTTTTGTGTATAGCATAAGGTGGTGGTCTTTATTCTTTTGCAAATGGATGTACAGTTTTCCCAACACCATTTATTGACTATACTGTCCTTTTGCCATTGTATGTTCTTGGCTCCTTTGTTGCAAATTAATTGCCCATTAATGTGGGGGTTTATTTCTGGGCTCTCAACTCTGTTCCATTGATCTGTGTATCTGTTTTTATGCCAATACTGTACTGTTCTGATTACTATAGCTTTGCAGTATAGTTTGAAATCAGGGAGCGTGATAGCTCCATCTTTGTTCTTCTTTCTTAAGATCACTTTGGCTATTTGGGATCTTTTGTGGTTCCATACAAATTTTAGAATTATTTGTTCTAGTTCTGTGAAAAATGCCATTGCAATTTTGATAGGGATTGCATTGAATCTGTAGATTGCTTTGGGTAGTATGGACATTTTAACAATATTAATTCTTCCAGTCCATCAGCATGGAATAGCTTTCCATTTATTTGTGTCTTCTTCAATTTTTTTCATCAGCGTCTTACAGTTTTTAGTGTACAGGTCTTTCACCTCCTTGGTTAAATTTATTCCTAGGTATTTTATTATTTTCAATGCAATTACAAATGAGATTGTTTTCTTAATTTCTTTTTCTGATTGTTATTAGTCTATAGAAATGCCACAGATTTCTGTGTATTGATTTTGTTTCCTGCTATTTTACTTAATTAGTTTATTACTTCTAAGAGTTTGCTGATGAAATTTTTGAGAATTATGCCCCTAACTCTATTTTTCATGTAAGTCCTAAGTTTCTTTTTGTTTTGTTGTGTGAATCATTCATAGTATGATGATTTTTAAGAACACATATATCATGTTATAGCATAACTATTACACTACAGAGGAGAACCCATGGGTGATGGGAATGTGAGGCACTAAACATTTCAACATGCCAGGACTCTGTACCCTGTAGGTGCTATTTCCTGCAAAATAGGATCTGTACACTACCCTCGCTACATTAGCAAGGAAATCTAAACACGTTGCTTTGTCTTCATTTTCAAATTTGTCCTCTGGTCATTTTATTCCTAATGCCCCCATGGCTTTATTTACCTAGGATGAACCTAACCAGTTGGCAGTGCTCCATATTCTGAGATGGCATTTCCAAAGACCGAATGGACCATTTTCTTGTCTTTTCAAAAAGAGCCACACAGGAAGGAAAACAAGAAATTCAACTTTTAAGCTGGGCTATTCATGGCCTTTGCTAAATCCTGGCAAAGCATCTGGTTTTTCATTACGATTCATCTCACTGATTTCCTAATAGAATGAACTGGCCTTTTCATTAAGGCCGTAGGAAAGCGAAGTTGGGTTACCCAAGTCATTAAGTGTTGTTATCTGATGAGTGAAAAATGGACTACTTTTCAATACGCATTTGGGGAGCCCTCTGTTTTCTTTCACTGGATTCTATTTTGTGAAAATTGGTTCAAAGGGAAGGAGAAGATCAATCTTGCATATTCTGTCCTGCTAGAACAAAGTATGCCTTTCTGCTCTGTGGGCAGGCGAAGAAAAATAGATAGGATCAGTAATGAGAAATGTAGTGCTAACATTCCTATTTTCCACTTTCAAGAGAGCCCAACCATCTCACTCTCTCAAGAATATTCTATTCCTATAACCAACAGGAGTGTTATTTCATTACTTTCTTAGCTTATCAATTAAAGCAGGCACACACATGTGCACACACATGCACACACAGTGACATTTCTTTCTTCTACCAACCCCCACTCCATGGAGAGATCAATTTGCGTAAGAGGGGAGAATGGATTCATTTAAACCCCATTCTAAATTCACTGTTAGGAATATAATGATCTCTAACACTGAACCTATTAAAATACTTTGTGGATAAACAACATAATTACATCTTTGCTTTAATTTGAGCTAAATTTACATGGAAAAAAACTCCTTGTGATTTATAAATTATTGAAGTGAATACACTATATTTACTTATTTGAGATAATATTTAACAATCTTTGAAGGTATTATTTTATCTTATGAAGGTACTATTTTATGTTACCTTGTAGTTTTAGCTTATAACATGGACTGAATTTTTGCATATCCAATTCATTATTTTATTAATTTTTAAAGAAGAAAAATAGTAGTGAATTAGGATTGGAATGAGCTAGTATACAGCCTATCAAATATAATGTTCAAACATCTTTTTAATTAATTAATTAATTTTTTTGTGAGGAGATCAGCCCTGTGCTAACATCTGCCAATCCTCCTCTTTTTTTGCTGAGGAAGACTGGCCCTGAGCTAACATCTATGCCCATCTTCGTCTACTTTATATGGGATGCCGCCACAGCACAGCTTGCCAAGCAGTGCGCCGGTGCGCACCCAGGACCCCAACCGCGAACCTCGGGCCGCTGCACCAGAGCATGCGCACTTAACCGCTTGCACCACCGGGCCGGCCCCTAAACGTCTTTATTAGAAACAAACAATCCATCATCCAGGTATTTTGTTTACATAGGACTAAATATTCAGGTATTTGGTAACGTGTGTGCATGTGAGTGTGTGTGAGAGAGAGAGAGAAAGAGAAAGTAGATATTAGTACTTAGCAATCTGATTTTGAAATGCATAGTTCAAGATAAGAGAAATTGTGAACACAAAATAAACTTTCTAGAATAATTGTACGCAGAGATTTTGTCTCCACAGTTGTGCTAAGCTTTGGCTCCTTCGTTCTTTGCCCTTATGTATAAATCAGAGCAATAGTTGAAATGTGAAGTATGTTGCCTTCTAAGCTGGATTGTGGTTTCCAAGATATTGAAACAATTGGGCATTATAAACATAGTCTGTCAATTTATTGCAGGAAAAAAATTTTAAGGTGTATTTTATCTTCAAATAGCACTATATAAATCCGTAACCAAATGCAAGGTTTCTGAGCCTGTGAAATCTCACAGCAACTACTTCCGTTTCAGCCTTAACTAGATCTATATTTTATACAGTGCAGTATTAGCAACCTATAAATGTGACAGTGATAATAAAAGATGTACAACAATGTATAGAAATCTTCCATTTTGAAGACTAATAATTGTTGGGAACATTTACATATGAGCAATAGCAAATAACTTTTAAGATTATAAGACTATATAAGTGTGACTATAACTTTTGATGTCAAATAGACTGTGTCTACACGAATCTAACCCAACCACTTATGCTAAAACTTCAAATGGCTATTTTGAGTGAAAAAAAATTAAATTGATCAATTAAATTGATCAAAATTTAATTGATTAAATTTTAAAAAATTAAATTAATCAATTAATTTAATTTATTAAATTAAAAAGCAGTCCTTTTGCTTTGATACAAACACATGATCTCTCTTTTTTTTTTTTTTTGTGAGGAAGATCAGCCCTGAGCTAACATCCATGCTAATCCTCCTCTTTTTGCCAAGGAAGACCGGCTCTGAGCTAACACTATTGCCAATCCTCCTTTTTTTCCCCCAAAGCCCCAGTAGATAGTTGTATGTCATAGTTGCACATCCTTCCAGTTGCTGTATGTGGGACGCCGCCTCAGCATGGCAGGAGAAGCAGTGCGTCAGTGCGCGCCTGGGATCCGAACCCAGGCCGCCCGTAGTGGAGCGCGCGCACTTAACCGCTAAGCCACGGGGCCGGCCCGATACAAACACATGATCTCTTATTGATTCATTCATTTATTCATTCAATAATTAAATACGTGTTTATTGAGCCCATAATATGCCCATACATATTATGGGCCAGGTGCTGTGTTAGGCATTGAGTATGAAGTGTAGAACAAAAAAAAAGACATAATCCCTGTTCTTATTTATGTAGCTTCATTTCATTATAATATGAACAGATGGAACAATAAAATTATATACCTAGAAGAGACAATAGAATCATCCAGTTTTTTTTTTTTTTGCATACTAGAAAACTAAGATCCAAAGAAATAAAGTGTTTTGACAAGGGTCATGTCTCTGGTTAGTTGTCAGTCAGGAAGTAGAGTTCAATTTCCTGACTTATTCTCCAATGATGTTGCCTCTATAATTGACTGCTTATACTTAGTTGATGCCGTTGAAAAATATTCTTCTCATTAAGAAGTGAAGAGTCTTGGGTTTGGCCCAGTGGTGTAGTGGTTAAGTTCACATGCTACGCTTCGGAGGCCTGGGGTTCACAGGTTCCGCTCCCGGGGGGAGACCTACCCACCGCTCATCAAGGCATGCTGTGGTGGAGTCCCACATGCGAAAAAAAAGGAAGATTGGCACAGATGTTAGCTCAGGGCCAATCTTCCTCACCAAAAAAATAAAATAAAAAAAGTGAAGAATCTTCAGAAACATCCCACCCAAATACTCAGA